TCCTGGTAATAAACTTGCTTTTTTCATTCTGCACGATGTTGAAAACATTTTGCCATGCCATTAAATATCTACATGATTTTTTTTTTCCTATTTTGCAATACGAACAAAGTTTGATGCTTTTTGTCTGAATTTTAAAAGCTATTCACACTTAAAATTGCATACTCTTTGCTCCAGCCATTGCTCTCCTGGGGACATTGCGGAAATACTATGGGTTGGTCAGAAGAATACACACTTGATTTTTTTTTTTTTCCATTTGAAAAACAGGGACATTGCTAACATTCTCTCTAAACAACTTCTAAGATTATGACTGTGACTGGTCCGGAGAGCTTCACAACACTCAAGTACAAATATGTCCCCATCTCTCTCTTGACTTCAGGTCAGATCGGAAGAGGCCCCAGCCCCGCCCCCACTGCCCTATTGGAAGTGCTCATTATCATCTCTCCGGGGAAACTGGCTCTCCGTGAGCTAGAGAAAGCAAAGCCTCAAGGCTGCAAACCTTAGAAGAAAAGGGTCAGCCCGACTCCCCCACTTACACAGGGGAGCACTGGGGTCTCCCCTGCCAACTCCCACCACTGCTGCCTCTGCTTCTCACCAGAAGCTTCCAAGTGCCTGAGAGTCAACAGATGCTGCCGCTGCCCAGCCCAGGGGCAGTCCTGTCCCCTCACAGCAGCCACCGTCCTGTGAGGGAGGACAGCTCCGCTCTCTCCACTGACTGCCTAGCTCCAGGTGCCCAGGTCCCCGGCCCCTTTGCTCCTACAGAAAGCCATTTCTTCCTTCCACAGCTCACGCCAGGGGAACCAAGCCAGAAATGGGGGTTCAGGAGCCCACCACTGGCTGACCAGAGCCATCATTTATTCCATTTCCTCCCCCAGGCTCTCACAGCCACACACGCGGAATCTATCATCTCCCTCCTCGACACAAAAGTACAAAAGATTTGCTCTGCTCCTTTTCTGTTCTGTAAGGACACCTGGGGAGTGACTGAAGGATTCAGACCCTCAAAGGATACCACAGGCAGCTTCGCCTCTTTGACCCTGAAATCTGAACGCTTGCTGGCTTTCTGCTTTCAAAGCAACAGGGAATGCTAACATCTAAAGAGAGACCAGACTTCCTCCAAGAGTGGGGGGGGGACTCTTTACTCATGAAGGGGACAGAAGTCATTTCCCTGCCTCACCCTATATTCTCCAACCCAAACACAAGCAAGGGAATAGCTTAATGATTCTTGCTAATGTAGTGGGAAACAAACCCTTGCTAAATTTTAAGTGGGTTGCCCTGTCACACAACACAATTAATTTTCAAGGGATCACTCCTTTTGTCTTTAAATGAGCAATTACTGATTATTTTTAAAGAAATACTCTGGTCCGTGAAAAATCCCCAGGGTTGGAGTCAGAAAATCCAAGTTGTTCTTTCCCTACCACTAACCACCCGTGTGACTTAGAGCAGTGTTCAAACCCTCTGAAACTCAATTTCTCTCTCTGAGATTGGACTTCCCAGTGGATCCATTAGTCAAGAGTCCCTGCTTCCCTGAACAGTGCCTAAAATTTCACTACCAACATTTGCCACGGCAACTTATTTTTTCTCTGCATTTTTAGTTTATAATTGCCAGGCCAAAAAAAAAAAAAAAACTAAAAATAATCCAAACCTTATAATCTACTAATTGTATGACTTTGAGCAAGCTGTCTAGAGTCTCTGAAATTCAGTTTCCTCAATTATAACAGTAGCTAACACAGATCCTAGAGGATAGGAACTGGTCTAAATGTTTACATACATTTACAGTTCACAACTACAACTCTATAAGGTAGGTACCACTATTATTATCATCTTTACAGGTGAGGCAACTGAGACAAGAGAGGTTAAGTGACTTTCTCAAGGTTATGCAGCTAAGAAGTAGCAGAGCTGGGATTCAAACCCAGACATCCAGACAGTCTGGCCCCAGAATCCATATTAATCAATGTATGCCACACCACCTCTGGCTTGAGAATATGGAATGATGAGTTGGGCTTATCTCTTGAGATTGTTGAAAGGACTAAATGTACACAAAGCACCATACCTGACACATGCTAAATCTTCAATATATAGGAGTCAATATTACTATATTATTGTTTTCTAGACAAAATTGATAAAGTACTATACTATACTATACTATACTACTAGCTGAAAATTTGAAAAATTGTGCAGCAACGTAGGAAAAAAAAACCCCAACTATGTATAATGCATAGTCAATTAAAGTAAAGTATAAAAGAGCAATATGTTTTGGTTATGCCTATGTACAAATTAAGTTCATATTTCGATAGCTGTATCATTCAGTTATTGCTGCATAACAAACAATAAGCATTTATTTCTCATATGTCTGCTTCTCAGCTATGAATCTGCTAACATAAACAGGGTTTGGCTGGGCATCTTTGCTTTAACCTGAAGGTCCGGCTGGGCTTATCTCCTTGATGCAGGCTGGACTCAGATCTGCTCCACACACGTCCATTTGGAGCTAGGATGAGAGGGCAGCAGCCAGCTGGCTAAACTCTTCTCATGGCAATGGCAATGGTGCAAGAGGACAAGTCCAAGTGCACGCCTCTACTCAAATTATGTTTACTAACATCCTGTTGGCCAAAATAAATCACATGACTGAACCCAAAGTCAAGGGATGACAAAGTACACTCCAACCCTCCCATGAGGCCACAGCAAGTCACATGATCAAACCCAACACCAAATGAGCAGGGAAGTATACTTTTCCCATGGAAGTGGAGGTGAGGGAGTAAGTGTTTTTGAACAGTAACCTATGATAAGAAGGACCAGTAGAAATAAAGGAAACTGAGAAGCATGATTACCTTGGTAAGATCATGGCTGGGTATTTGGGTATTTTATGTTCCTTTCTTTTCTTTTTTTTTTTGAGACAGAGTCTTGCTTTGTTGCCCAGGCGAGAGTGAGTGCCGTGGCGTCAGCCTAGCTCACAGCAACCTCAATCTCCTGGGCTCAAGCAATCCTGCTGCCTCAGCTTCCTGAGTAGCTGGGACTACAGGCATGTGCCACCATGACCGGCTGATTTTTTTCTATATATATTAGTTGTCCAATTAAGTTCTTTCTATTTATAGTAGAGACGGGGTCTCACTCTTGCTCAGGCTGGTTTTGAACTCCTGACCTCAAGCAATCCACCTGCCTCAACCTCCCAGAGAGCTAGGATTACAGGCGTGAGCCACCGTGCCCAGACTTTTATGTTCCTTTCTGTTCAAAATTACACTTTTTAGTTTACCATCTTTAAAACTAAAGAAGGAAAACGAAGCGCAACCTCAAGAATCAGCTGTAAAAGAAAAGGCTAAAAGGAAAGACTACCACTAGATAACATTTGCTCACTCATTTGGCAAATATTGGCTGAGCCCCTGCCATCTTCCAGGTAAATCATAGATCCTGTCCTCAAGCAGCTCACAGTCTAGCCAATGAGAGATAATGACAACAACGACGATGACAATGATAATGATCATCATCATCATAGCCAACATTCATTAAGTGTGTGATATCCCAGGTGCTTTGTTAAACAATTTACATAAAGTAATCTCCTGTAATACTCACAAAAACTCGGTGAAGAAGCTTGCCTTATAATCCCATTTTAAAGAATAAAACCTGAGCCACAGAAAGGTAAGGATTAGAATCTCCACCAGCTCCCCCAGCCAGCAGAGCTAGAATTCCAGCCAGGTAGTCCAGCTTCGGACCCCGCACTCTACATACTTCCTCTCCCCATTCAAACATATTCCCATAACCCACCTCATCCCCATTCCTTCAGCAGCAAATTTTTCTATCTTAACACAAAGTGTGCCTTCTCTGGGAGGGTTTGCAAACACAAAGCCTTCTCTTTCAAATGTAACTTTCAAAAGTTAACAAATTATAATTTATAAGGCAGGTGTGGGCAAAGGGTGCTAGCCTTCAGTAAAGAAACAGAATTTCTGGTAAGCCTAGGGAAGAGAGAATGAATGTAAACTCAACAAATATCATTTTCCACGTTTATGGAGGCTGAGTAAGTCCACCGTAAGGGTGGTGATGAGCTTTTCTCCACCTCGAGTGGAAACACTAAAAATAAGGGGCTTGCACTGCAGCATCAGGGAACTACGTGAGCCAAAAGTGAACATTCTAGATAACACAAGGGGTTTTTGCATGAAAAGAGACTACCAAGAAGTGTCCAACTGATTTCTTTCACCAAAGCAGTGTGATTAAGCAGGCCAAGCAGTATGGGCAAGGTGCAGACCGACGGGATAACCTCTCAGGATACCCCACAACAGTGATTACTCAGGTTATTCTGCTACATGGCTTTTCCTGAGGCAGCTTCCAGAATATGCCAAGCAGCAGAGGTTGTGTAAAACACCAAAGCCAATTCAGACCACCAAATTATTTCTTTCTTCTTGGCTTTCTTTCCCTTCCCAGACCACCCTGAAGCCTGCTCTCTTGCAGCCTTAATCTGCAATGGCAGCTAAAGAAAACAAATAACCTCCCACCTACCAAAAATCAAAACAAAACACCAGAACATGGGAGCCATTATAAACATTGGCATCAAACTCAGCTATTTCAAATACAATTATAATATTCATTACTCAACAGCTAAGACTGAGAATACACAAAAAAACCCAAACACCCAACAAAGAGACTTATTTTGATGAGTCAAGTAGGAAAGACCTCATCTGTTTGCAAATGTCTGATTGAACCCATCACAAATGACCAGTAGTAGCTGATGAAAGGAATGGTTCAAGTTAAGCTGCAGACAGCCCTTCCAGAGAAATCTCACAAGGAGGCTGCCAGCAATTCCCTTTTCTTAGAAATAACAGACAATCATATTAAGTGCAATAATAGAAAAAAATCACAAAGTCTGAACTCTTCCATTAAAACTGGGTCACTCTTAACTTGAGCAGGCCTCGTATAATAGTTACCTCCCTGCGCCATCCACCGTGCACCTGGTGACTGGTACAGACTTGATTGACAACCTGGAGGAGCTGGTAAAGATTCCATTGTGATTCGACCAGTGGGTTTCCAGATACATCAGCCCTTAAGTTACCAACAGGAAGAAAATGAAGAGACTAAAGAGGTAATATTTTTAACGGAGTTTTGTAACGCTCGCCCTTCGCACAGCCGCAGCCTCAGCGTGCAGCTTGGCTTTCGCTGCGTCCTCTGCCCTCCTGCTATTTCCACAAAAAGACCTCGGAAAATGCATTGGTATTTGTGGAGCCCCCACCCCCGCACCCCCACTGCTCTGGTTCTGTTGTCACCTATGCAGGAAACCAGGGGCAATTCCACAAAGGTGGAGAGAAGCAGTCTGAGGAGCCGAGGAGTCCCGCGGGGTGTGGTGCGTGGGAAATAAAGAGCAGTTCCGCGCAGGAGGACCTGCCCGGGGGGACGGGGGACAGGGACGGGGGCGGGGACAGGGACAGGGACGCAGGCTCCCGGGCCGCCGCCGGGCTCTAGTGGAATCAGGAGGTGGCCCTTTGGTCACCTCTCCTCTGTCTCCAGGTCGCGTGGTTTTACTGCTTCCTCTCCTCACCCTTGGCCTTTTTATCCATAACTGCTGACAAGATGTGACCTTAAAAATCCGTTTTTGAGAAGGTGCCACCTTTAGAGAACGCGATCTTGGTGGGGGAGGGGAGGCCACCGTGTGCAACGGGTGTAAGGGCTTTTGTTTACCACAGAACGAGGGTCACAGAGAGTACAGGAACAAAGTGTGCGGGGAGTGAGGGGAAGGCAGAGCCCAGGAGTGCGGACGAGGCGGCGGGAAGGGAGCGGAACCGAAGCCGAGGAGCGCGGGGCGGCGCCACCACAGGGAGGGACATCGAGGAGGACGCTGTAAGTGAAATAAGCCAGACACAGAGGGGCAAATACCGCATGAGCCCACTCACATGAGGTAACTAGAGTCATCGGTTCATACAGATAGGACGCAAAAGGGGGGTTGCCAGGGGCTGGGGGAGGGAAGAATGGGGGTTAGTGTTCCGCGTGTATGAAGGAGCGAAGGAGTGCAGGGCAATTTCGCCCCCAAAATATGGCGCCCTCGTGGTAGGATGGGTACTTTGAATTAAAAGTCCTTGGAGATCAACAGAGACCAGAAGATACTCTTCCCCTATCTACACAAAGACCAGAGGGATCCCACTGAGAAGAACAACTGGCTTTTCTTCTCCTCCCTGTTATGCCATTATCTATTACAGAAAAGGAGACCAAGCATGTAGCCAGACATGATCAGACCCTTTCACAAAATTATGTCTACCTCACCCTCAGGCTCATTCAGTCTCCAAAGAGAGCCATTGGTAGTTAATCTCTGTTCCCCTATCCAGTCCTTCTCCCAAGTATCCAGTCATTCTCCTTAGTGACAATTTATTGCCCCTCAACAGAATAACCTATATTCTCCACCACCCACTCCCCTCTGGAACGAGGTTATATAAGTATTTGGGCCCCTTGGTCAGGATCGGTGGCTCACACCTATAATCCTAGCACTCCGGGAGGCCGAGGTGGGTGAATAGCTTGAGGTCAGGAGTTTGAGACCAGCCTGAGCACAAGTGAGACCCCGTCTCTACTAAAAAATTAGAAAGAAATTAGTTGGACAACTAAAAATATATAGAAAACTTAGCCGCGCATGGTGGCACATGCCTGTGGTCCCAGCTACTTGGGAGGCTGAGGCAGGAGGATCGCTTGAGTCCAGGAGTTTGAGGTTGCTGTGAGCTAGGCTGACACCATGGCACTCTAGCCAGGGCAACAGAGTGAGACTCTGTCTCAAATAAATAAATAAATAAGTATTTGGGCCCCACTGGGATATTGGGTGATCACTCTGCAATTCTCCCCCATGAGAATGTTAATAAATGTGTATGTCATTTCTCCCATTAATCTGCCTTTGTCAGTAGATTTTTCAGTGAACCTTCTGAGGGCAAAGGGGAATGCACAGAATTTCAGTTTGGGAAAATGAAAAAGTTCTGGACAATGGATGGCGGTGATGGTTGTACAACGATGCAAATGTATTTAATGCCACTGAACTATACACTTAAAAATGATTAAAATGGTAAATTTTATGTTAAGTACATCTTACTGCAATAAAAAAAAATTAAATAGGAGGTGTGGGAGGGATAGTTTAGTTGTATAGAAGATCCAGTCTGGCAAGAAGCAGATTCAGTGCCACTGAAAAATTCAGGAGCCACAGGTGGGGGGATGGGTGCAGCTCCCCACCAGGCTTCTCCAGAAAACACCCTTCTCAATGGTATCTAACCCTGGGAGCCTAGAATCTTTCACCTGACTGAAGGCGGATGAGTCCTTTGTTGGGAGCCATCATAAGTGTACAGCAGATAACCTCTATTCTTACTTACCTAAGAGGTGGCCAGGGACACGGTAACAAATGGGGCTACCCTTCCTCCCTAGGGCTCCAAAGCCTCTCCAGGAGAGCTGAGGAATAAAAGTGGGGAAGTATTAAGGGTGAATTGTGCATAAACTCAGCTTTTCAGGTTGGGAATAAAACATCTAGCATAAAATCTGACCCCATGGATGTCACCAAAACCCTGTACAAGAAACCAGAAAAGACTGTGATACCCAGAACTCCCGCTGCAGATGAGCTGCAGTGAATTGGGCTGGGCAGAGCGGGCCTGCCCCAGTTCTGGCATCACGTAAGAGAGGAGGCACCTTCCAGACTTAGCTTGGAAAACACCTTTGAGGGAAGCCCAGCCTCAGAAAGCAGTTCGAGTTGGCGGTTCACCCTTGCATCCTGCTTGTTGCAGGAAAGCATCTTTTCCACTGGTTATTTCTGTCTCTGGCCTAGGCTTGTTTTTCCCAGACCTGCTCCTTGGCTTGCAATTCCTCCCCGGTTTATTAAAAACTGAAATAAATCACCTAATAAATCTCTTTTAAGTTTTTTCCTTCAAACCCTTTTCAACAATTGCCAAAGTCACAAAATTGCCTCTTTCCCACAGCAGGAGGCTAATAAAATAGCTGGTGTGTTCATAGAAATGTATAGATCAAGAAAACAAAATCTTTAATTATTCAGAGCCTCCCACTTCTGGTACTAAATTTACTTGCTTTGGGTTGATTTAAAGAAGCAGAATAACACCTGAGCAGTTAGCAAGCCGCAACGGCACCATCTTCTTGTGAATTCAGTCCTGCCTCTCTTTTGATGATAAAGACATATGTGAATATGAGTAAATTATCTTTCCTCATTGATTAGATCATTGCTGGGAACACTCCTGGCATTTAATTTTTAGAACTCCTGTACATACACCCACAAAGCCCTGCTCCCAATTTTGCTTTAATTTCTTAAAATCTTTAAATCACAGGATCTTGGAGTTTGAAAAGAATTCGGGCATCCCCTCGTGTAACCCCTTATTTTCATAGACTCATAGGATTTTAAAGATTTTTTTTTAAAGAGATGGGGTCTTGCTTTTGCTCAGGCTGGTCTCGAACCCCTGAGCTCAAATGATCCATCCGCCTCAGCCTCCCAGAATGTTAGAATTACAGGCGTAAGCCACTGCGCCTGGCTAGGATTTTAAAGATATGAAGGATATGTAGTTTGATTCTGATTCTCCCTGTCAGATGTCATAATCCACATACAAATCTACTTTGTACCCCCGTAGTACTCTCTATATATTAATACCTCCATTGGTATGTTGCTCATTTTATATACTTCTTTATAAAAATTTAGACTTTTGTTTATTTTTTGAAAAAGTAATATGTTCACATAATTGACAATTGGAAAGGCAAAAAAAGTATATACCCCTATCCTATAGCCACTCAGGTCCTTATGCCAGAGGTCACTCATGTTCACAGTTCCATTCTGAGATATTCTATCTATAAAGTTATATATTCTTTTCTTCCCTCTTTTGCACAAATGTTTTTATGCTAGTCACATCTACACTTTCATATATGTTGGAGATCTTTTTATATTAAGCTTTATTCTTTTAGACAATTCCATGGTATTCCATTATATGGATATACCATAATTTGGGGACATTATAGATGGTTCCAATCTTTTTTATTACATATAGTTTTACAATGAATGATATTACACTTATGTTTTGTACCATTATGTCCTTGGGATAAACTCCCTGAAGTGGAATTGCATTTGCATGTTCATTTGCAATTTTGATTAATATTGCCAAATTTCCTACATTAATATCTACTCTCAGCAATAATATGATGGTGCTGGTTTCCCTACAGCTTCACCAATGTTATTTTATCAAGCTTTTTGACAATATAATTATTTATTTACCTGTCCCTGATTTCACTCTCTCATTAGAATGTGAGATTTTAGGGCTGCCAGAACCTAGCATAACATCTAGTACATAATATAGTACAAATATTTGATAAATACATGAATGAATGAATGAACGAATGAATGAATGATGGGTTTCTTTAAATTATAATTCAAAACCATAGTCCTTATTTTTCCATTTTGTGAGTCTGAGAATGCTGCATTTCATTTTATTGGAGTGGTCCACTTGTGCACATACTCTGAAAGCTTTGCAAATTCTTGGAGACAGAAAATTTATTCCATCTCTCTTGTTTTACTGCCGATTGTTATTGGAGGGTCAGGACACTGAAATGTTCTCTTTCATGAGTATCTTGTTTCAGACATCTAGTGATGACTACCTTGTTAGAGCAGAAAGTAAAATCAAATGCAAGCATCCAGCAAACCCCAATCAACATCTGTCTCTCCTTACACACACACACACACACACACACACACAGCTAAGGCTCTGTGAGCCCATTATCTAGGACCTGGAAATCAGCTCCCCCTGCCAGAACACTAGTGGCCTACGGGCCGAACACCTATCTCCAGAGACAGCAGGACCACAGCACGCTCCACCTGTGCTCCTTGCTGTGATCAGCTGCAGGTGGCTTTTTCACAGGCTACGTTCCCCGGGAAGCTGACTCTTGGAGATATGGAGAGGAGCCTAAAGGACATCTCCCAGGGTGTACACTTGGGATCCTTGCCTGCAGACAGAAAGGGAAGGAAACAGGGGTGGGCAGAGGAAGAGGCTGCAGTGCAGTCTCAATGAAAGCCTCATCCACTTCTGCGGAGAGTTTTGGATCTGGGATGGCCCTTCAGAGCTGTCCCAAGTAGAGATGAAGGGACCAGCCTTTTAGACCTCCATGTCGATCAGTCATTAGGCATGTGCTTACCCTCAGGCATTTGAACGGAAGTGATTCCTGAAAGGAGCTGACAGCTGGAGGCCACTTGCAAACTCCCTATGGCTGAGGGAATGAGCCCGTAGGGCAGCAGTCCCCAACCTTTTTGGCACCAGGCACCAGTTTCATGGAAGACAATTTTTCCATGGACCAGGGGTAGGGCAGTGTGGGCGGTGGGGGAGGCAAAGCTCAGGCGGTGATGCCAGCAATGGGGAGCAGCTACAAATACAGATGAAGCTTTGTTCACTTGCCCCTGCTCACCTCCTGCTGTGTGCCCTGCAAGTTTCATGGAAGGCAATTTTTCCACTGACACGGGGGTGGTGTGTGTGGCATGGCAGAACTCTGTGGCCTGGTCCCCAACAGGCCATGGACTGGTAACAGTCCACAGCCAGGAGTCGGGGACAGCAGCCATAGGAGGTCCTCATCATCCAATGGATTTTCCCTGGAAGAAAGGCAGGTTTTCTCTCCAGGATTTGTCAGAGGCTACCTCTCACCTTTGTCACTTTCCATCAATGACAAACTGTGGTCATGCTCTAAAACGTTAACCCTAATGTGACACCCTCCTCACACAGTGTCTAAGCACCAGGGCTTTTCCTGCTGCTGCTGCACAATGGCCAGCAAAGAGATCAGTCACTGCCAGCAAAGGATAAGCTATAGGATATCAAGTCTGGGGACCAAGCCCCAGTCTGCAGCTGCCATGTTAAGGTGGTCCCATGCCAAAGCAGAAGAACAATATGGACATGTGGGGAAATGACCCACAGACATTGTCTCTCCCCAGCATAGGGTTCAGAGAGTGGGAGAAAGCGTCCACTACCTTCTGAGAGTTGGCCCTTCCCAAAGTAAAACTTCAGGCTTCCTAGCCTTGATTCTGGGCTAGATGTTATTATGTCTGAGCATAAAAGGACTCTACCATAAAAGAAGTGGGAGAAAAAGTGCCTGGGAGCGTGCAGCCCCCATCAACTTGAACTTGAACGTAGCAGATCTTGCCGCAGGATGTCTTTCAAAATTGTTTTGTTTCTTGTTGTTGTTTCTATTGCTATAACAAAATATGACATGGAGCTTTAAAATCTAGATAGGGAGGGGGGCGGGTATATACATACATAGTGAGTGAGATGTGCACCATCCGGGGGATGGTCATGATGGAGACTCAGACTTTTGGGGGGAGGGGGGGAAATAGGCATTTATTGAAACCTTAAAATCTGTACCCCCATAATATGCCAAAATACAAAAAAAATTATTAAAAAAAAATAAAATAAAATCTAGATAAGTTTTTCTTGAAACCCCAGAGTCTTCTTCAGGGTTTCTGTACAGAAGGTTTAAAAGCTGAAAGTCACTTCTATCCTCCTCTCTTCTAGATTAGCCCACCGGTTTTGATCACAATGACCGAGGCATGTAGCTTAGCCTCCTCTTCCTCGATGACCATGAATTAAAAATCTCATCCATGACATTGTGGCTGCTCATAAACATGACTGAGCATCTGGGAGGCCGATGAGGGAAGAAATTATGTTTCTCTGAACCCTGTATTAGTTTTCTAGGACTGCCATAGCAAAATACCACAGACTGGGTGGCTTCAACAACAGAAACTTATTTTCTCATAGTTCTGGAGGCTAAAGTCCAAGCTCAAGTATGTCTGTCTCCTAATCTCCTCTTCTTATAAGGACACTAGCCATATTGGATTAGGGCCCACCCTAATGACCTCATTTAACTTAATTATCTCCTTAAAGGCCCTGTCTCCAAATGCAATTACAATCTGAGGTGCTAGAGGTTAGGACTTCAACACGTGAATTTTGGGGCAATGCAGTTCAGCCCATGACAAACTCTAAGCCTGTCCTTTCCTAGGTGGTCCTCCAGCAACTTCCTCACACGGAAGTGGTTGCCTTACACACTTCTCCAGCCTGATCACCCCTGTCTCTGTTCCAGGTTGGCAAACTTTGCAAAGGGACAGGCAGTAAACGTTTTAAGCTTTGCAGGCCATTTGCTCCCTGTGCCAAGTGCTCAACTCTGCCATGGCAGCACAAAAGACGCCGTAGATAATAAGTAAATGGGTGAGTGTGGATACATTCCAATAACACTTGATTTATGAACACTGAAATTTGAATTTTGTAGGATTTTCACAGGTCACAAAATATTATTACCATTTTGATTTTTTTTCAACCATTTAACAATGTAAAAACCATTCTCAGCTCATGGGCCCTATAAAAACAAGTGGTGGGCCAGATTTTTTTTTTTTTTTTTTTTTTGGTCATTGGGCAATGGTTAATTGAGTCCTGCTCTGTTTTCTTCTTTTGTCACATTGCTCTTGGTTAACATCTCCCACACAGGCATCCTCTCAGGACTCACCCTGTTCCCCACCAGGCTCATCATGATAATTTCCAGCACAAAAACAGTTTCCTTCCTACTAGGAATTCTGGTGCCAGCTGTTAGATAATAAATTATTTAGGCCTGATACCCCTGATATCTTGATTTAAAAATGTCTTTTTCTCATCGTTGCAGAACAAACAAGACTGTGACTCACATTTCACAATTAAATAACTCACTTCAAGTACTTTCAGAGAGAGCTGTCTCAAGTGTTTTCTGGGTGCCACGCATGGGGCCAAGTGGCTCTGCAGAACTACTAGATTTGCACAAAAATCATGTAAGATAAATATTAACTCTATTTTGCTGACTAGAAAACTTGGGCTTGATGAAGTTGATTAAATATCTCAAGGTCACTCCACTAGTGAGGGAGGCAAATGTGAAACCAGGACTGTCTCCAAATCCACACTCTTAACCAATAATGCTACACTGTTTCCAAAAGCTCGTTTCCTCTCTAAGGACTATGCAGCCTGACACTGCAGTGTCATGACAGTAAGAATCTTGTGACAGAGACAGCAAATTGCCCCTTCAATATCCATTCTCCCCTTCTTCCTTACTAATAGAACTCCAGTTCTCTTTTAGGATGACGATATGCCTGGCCAGAAAGTCACAGTTGCCAGCCTCCCTTGACCAATGAAGAGGTAAGCAGAAGTCATTAAAGGATGTTTTCTGAGAAGATTTTTAGAGGGAAATTAGCACCCGCTCCCATTCTTCCAGCCTGGGATACAGACATGATGGCTGGTATCTTGGCAACTATCTTGAGCTCCTAAGGAAAAAGGATCATACCCTAAGAATGGACAGGGTGGATTTCTAGAAGCCTGAGCCTCTTATCGTAGAGCTGCCACATCAGCCCTTAAATGCTTACATCAGGATTTCTCTCTAGGTGAAAAACAAACCTTTAATAACTGTCTAAGCCACTACATTTCAGGCCTCTATTACTCATGGCCAAAGCCCTCTATAACACTCACACCCACACAACATAGAGGACTCTCTCCTTGGTGTCACTCTCTCCTGGCCTTCTTGTTAAAAAGAGTCAGAGAGCCATGTCGGGCAGACATGATATGAACTCATCCCTGTCTGCCAGCCTAGGACGGTCAGATCTGTGGCTACTGGTTCCTGTCGGGACTGAGAATTATTACTCTAACCTGTTTTTACTTACAATTCTTCTGACACCAAATGCATGGGTTTTTTTCCTCATACCAACCAATTCTCCAACTCTCAGGATACCAGCTGGGGATCTTAGAATTTAATTCATTTCTGACACTAACTACCCAGAGCTGGTGAAGACCCATAGGTTAAGGGCTCAGTCCCACATAACTGCCCCCTCTTTAGGCACCAGTAGGAAGTCCCAGGCCTCCCGTACTTCTGACTGACTGGCTATAAATTGAGGGTTCCATGATCCCTTCCTCAGGTTCAATACTTTGCTAACATGGCTCACATAACCCAGAAAGGCACTTTACTTACTAGTACCAGTTTAGTATAAAACATACAACTCAGTTCTGAAGCAGGCATTATATTTAATAAAAAAATAAATAAAAAAAAATAAAAAAAAAAAAGATACAACTCAGGAACTGCCAAGAAGAAGAGATGAACAGGGTAAGACACGGGTGAGGGGGTACAGAGTATCCAAGCCTTCACCAGGCCGGCCACCCTCCCCAGCCCTCAATACGTTCACCAGCCTGGAAGCCTCTGAACCCATCATGAAGGGGTTTGTGGAAGTTCCGTTACATAGGCATCATTGACTAAGTCACTGACCATTGGTGACTAACTCCATCTCCAGATCCTCTCCCCTCCCCAGAGGTCAGGGGGTAGGGCTGAGAGTCCCAGCCCTCTAATCACATCGTTGCTTCCTCTGGAAACCAGCCCCCACCCCGAAGCTCTCTAGGGACCCCGCCAGAATGACCTAGAACAGAAGGCAGTAGTTGTCAACCAGGAAATTCCAAGGGATTTAGGAGCTGTGTGCCAGAAACGGAGGACAAAAAACAAATATATACTTATCCCAATTACCCAATGACTATCACTCCCAGTTTACAAAACGCATTCACGAGTAATAATCTTTCTTTCATTTGTCACAACAAATCTGACCAATGGACAGGGATGGTAGTGGTTTGTATCCCCATTTCAGACATAAGAAAACTGAAGGAGCTTGGAAAAGCTGTCATTTGACCAAGGCACACAGCCAGGGTGCACGCTTGGCCACTTGACGCTAATATTTCTGCTCTTTCCAATATGCCAGTGCTCCAAGAGACTGCTGAGATTCTAACGAGAAAAGCCTGAGACAGGGCTCAGTCCTCTGAAGCAAATTTGACTGGCCAGCAACCACCTGTCTCTCCTCAATAGCTGAACTACTCTTCACCGTCAAAAGGCTGATCTACTCACCTGAAACAAGTGAGTGGCTACACCTTGTTGTAAAAACTCAGTTAAATCAACACCATCTATGTCCATTGCATTTATTCTCTGTGATAGACAATGTTGACACGAACAAGCACTGATCATTCTGTGAACATCCAACCGATGAATCAGTTGTGCAAGAACAATGGCAGTCATTTCGCCACTGCTGTGCGCATGGTGGAAGACAGTGACAGGCTGAGAAGATGCCGGCATGCAAAGAGGAGACGAGACGAGGAGAAACTGGCACCTCCCAATTACCCCAGAGAGGCTTCTTGGAGAAGACAGAGTATCAGATGCTGTTTAATTCAGGAATGAAACAAGTTCAGGAAGATAAGTGGCAGTTCAGACATAGGCAGAAATGGGAAAATAATAAGAGCTAGCATTATATTTTCACTGTAGTAGACAGGGTTCTTAAGTGTGAGAAACAGAAATTGGCTCTGGCTGATGTAAGCACAAAGGGAATTTATTGAAAAGATACTGGGTCTCTTGCCATTATGTCAAGAATTCTGGAGGACCAGGTTCTGAAAATGGACAGAAACAGAAAAGTGCTATAGGCAGCCCCAACTACTATTCACCACACGGCTAGTCTAACACTGGGCAAAGTGTAACAGCCATTTCTACAATAGGGCTGTAATGAACATTCCTGGTTTGCTGCTCATGGAATCACTGGGAGGCTGGTGAACAGCTCTGTGATCTTGCCTGGGCCACTCAGGCTCCAGGTTGGCCAGCTATTGGCTCTTCTAGGCTGTCCTTACCTGGGGTGAGTGGGACAACTTAGCTCACTCCACATGTCTCATTCTCCAACAGTCTAGACCAGTCCTGTTCTCATGGTGCTGGCAAAAGAATCACAAAAATACCCACTAATACCTCTTGAGATCTAGGCTCAGAACTGGTAACACTATCACTTTAGTGGTCAAGGCAAATCACAAGACCAGCCCTGGTTTAAAGAGTAGGGAAACAGATGCTTCCTCTTCAGAGAGAGGTACTGCAGAACCACGCAACAGAGGGTCTGATACAGGGGGCAACAAATTGAGGCCATTGATGCAATCAATCTACCAAACACCTGAAGCTGCACTAGCACCTCTGCCCCTTCTGCCCCAAACTGCACCTGGCTTCATTGCTGCTACCACCAGCTGTGTGGATTCTCCATGTTTCTTTGCATTCCAGCTTCAGATCCAGGGTTCCAGGCAATGATATCAGAATAGCCAGGTCCACATCCTCCTTTAGGCACAGAGACACTGGGAAAGCAAGTGTCTCAGCTTTTTTTACTTCTTAATAGAAGATGAGCTCTGCTCTCACCAAGACCCATGAGGTAGGGAAGACCACAAACATAGGAAAGGAGTTCAGATGCTGAATAGTCAAAAATCTGACAGTCATTCTTCTAACCCACCTGGTGTCTATTATGGTTTAGCGCAGACTGTCCCCAATTCTTCGCCTCTCCTTTGCATCCATACCCTTTGCCATATAGCTCTGCCATGGCCTCCCTCCATGGGCAGGGTGACCTGCTTCACTCTTTGACACTACACTAATCCACCATGTGCTCACACTGGCCTATGGGATGTTAGCAGATGTAATCATTCTCGTTATATTAACAATGGCTGGATCCTTTCTGGACAGCCGTTGTATCCTAAGCAGAGGCTTGCAATGGGCTTGCACATTAGCACTTGTTCTCTTGCATCTCTGCCACCACTATGGGAACATGCCCAGGCTAGTTTACCAGAATGAGAGACACATGGACCAGAGCCAAGGTACCCTAGTTATCTCACCTAGGTCAGATAGCCGACAGCTAGAAAAGCCATAGGTAAGCATGAAAGCATGTCCAGCCCAGACTGGTGCTATCATCTAGCCGACCCCCAGCAGATTCAAGCCCATTAACAATAAACACTTACTGTTACATGCCCTTGAGGTTTTATAGTTGTTTGTGACATAGCGTTATTGTGGCAATGGATAACTGATACAGTGTGCCAGCAGTTGGCATATAAATAAGTTCATTTCATTCTCAGCCTACTGTTGAGTTAGATATTAGACTTTTCATTAACACAGATTAGATAAACTGACTAAAGTCACTCAGGCTGGATTTGATGGTGGTCTTCATACAACAAAGCCATGCTCCTGATAACTCTACCCTGCAGCAGGGTTACAAAGAAGTTCATAACCCTGACTGAGCCTCTGGGACTCAGCGCTTGTTGCCTGGGCCAGAAGTGACTCCAAAATAAGCCAGGAAGACTTGGACAATAACCAAGAAACAATTCCAAGGCTAATCCTATTAGAGCGAACCCTGGGAACAATGCAAGGTCATTCCCTGTCCCGGAAAGTTCTTGAGATAAGGAAACCACCAACAAGGACCTAGAAATCCTTTATTTATGCTTTCTCATTGTAACTGGCTTAGCTGTGATAGGATTTGGTCTCTCCCCTGCTCTTGAGGGGCTAAGAGTGTTTAATGGATACACATGACTCTATAGAACCTAAGCTAGTACCATAGATACAGTGTATTGTGGCAACAACTGTCAGAATGCCTGGCACATTGCCGGTGCTTGCTAGACATTGGGCCCCTCCCTTGTCCACTCACATCCCATATTCAAGGAATCATATCACCAAGACTTTTTATCTCTGCAAATCACAGCTCTTAGGACCTGACAGACCCAGTTACATGTGTTGGTTCTACATATATATATATACTCTGTGCTAGATGCCAAGAATACAGAAACCTAGGGTCAAGCTTGAGAACCTTACAACCTTGGGATCTAGAGGCAAACCAAGTTTTCAGAACCAGATTTAAATGCTAACCTAAGGTAACATGACCACAGTGCCACGTGAGCTATCACAATGATATATTTGGAGAAAAATAATACAAATAAATTTATGTTATGTTAAAAGGTGATTTTATTCATTTCATCTCTATTAAAAAATACAATGACAGATTTTCAATTTTTATAAAGAAAAAGACACCGTTTTAATTTCCTGCATTGCCGAAATAGATTGTTAATTTTCAATTTTTAATGCATAAATGTTGAAACCTATATTAGCTTTGATACATATCTGCATTTTCCTGAGCTCACAAAGCTGTAAAAATGCCATTTTATAGTTGAAAGTATAAACTTCATAATAAAATAAAAGCTAAATTTATTCATTGATTTAAACTCTGTTAAAGACATCACAAATTAGCATTTTAGAACTTTGGAAGATACATATCCTTAAAAGTAAAGGATCTTTATCCAGGCAAATCCTGTCTGCAATTCCGTATTTTGAG